CCTGTGTTTCTGGGATGTTCATTTTAAATCCCACTAACCAGATGGGACCAGCTTCCAAAATCCAGGACTGTCCCAGGTAAACGAGCTTACCATATGCATAGACAAAATCCAACCATTTTGAGGCAGACACAGTCCTCAGGGAATTTAGCTGCCAAAATCCACTTATGCTCAGCAGAGATTTATTAAACTGAGATCTTTCTGAGACTCAAAGTGGCCACATCCTGGGATGCCCCTGCCAGATTTCCCGAAAGCAGAGAGAAAAAGGAATCTGAGTCAGCCTCTGTAGCCACCTATGGCTGAGTTTCTGAACAAAATAGTTGCAAGTTTGTTTGTTTTTAACATGGGTAGAAAAGCTTATTTTTACTTACCATGTTTGTGTAAGCCAGTGGTTCTGAGAAGGGCTGTGCAAAGCTTTGGGAGCCAATTCGATGTGGAGGAGATTTGGCCCAATTCGGCGGCCAAATCTCTGAATCTGAATTGAATCAGGAGACCAATTAAAAGCTCCAAATTGAACCAGAAGCCTCCAAATCAATTTGGTGCTGATTTGGAGATTCAGCCATAGACTAAACAGGCAGCAGGATGCTGGACACTGCTGCCTCCAGCTGGTAAATCTGTTGTGGTGGGTAAAGGGGGGAGGGAACAGGCATGGCAGGGGGATCAATGCCCCCACAACAAGGAAGGGATTGGGGTTGGGGCTGTGGCTGGAACAAGTTGCCCAGCTGGGGCAGGGAGGGCATGGGACTTGGGGGGGTGGGGGAGCTCTTGCTGTTGCAAGTTGTCTGTCTGGGAGTGGCATGGGAGCAGACGTCTGCCCCTGGATCTGTGTGGGGCAGGTTGGGCTGGGCTGTGCTCCAGGTGGCTAGCCCCAGTTGCTCACTGCTGGGCTGTGCCCCATGGGGTGGTTGGAGCCAGGGCTAAGCAGAGCTCAGTGGAGTGGGAGCAATGTGGGGGCTGCAGCCACCCTAAAATTCCCCATAGTCCCTGCCACCAGCCCCACTCTGATCTGGGTCCACGTGCCCATCCCCATGTCCTGCCGCGGCTTGCCTAGCAAAGCCGGGGCTTGTCCTGGAGGTGTGGGGTGGCTGGGTGAGTGGTGGAGGGGCATAGCCTCCACTCCCAGTGCCTTCCACCACCCATCTGTAATGCAGCCCAGCCCAGCCTGCCCTGCGCAGATCTGGAGACCCACTCCCATGCCCTCCTGGACCAGCGGCACATGGCGGTGCACAGGGGTGGGGCCCCCCCTCCCCGAGTCCTGCACCCAGGACTGTCCCGGAGAGGGGACTGTCCCTGGGAGGTGTGAACCAGGGTGACCATCTCGGGCTTTGGGGGGCATCATGGACAGTCCTATACAGGCTCTGCCACGGCTGTCACATGCTGCCACAGCGGCAGAGCCAGTAGCACTCAGCAGAATCACTGAATTGAATCACTGTCCCTCCAAATCAGCCGAATCTGAATCGAATACTTGCTGCTTTGCACAGGTGTAGTTTTTAGCCTTTTTAGATGCCAGGCACTCCTAGGAAAATACAGCAAAAGCAGAGCTTTTACTGTACTGGCTCTTAGTTTTCCCTCTTTTTTTTTTTTGTGTGGGAAAAATAATAGAGCAGTTCTTCTGCCCTGTTCTGGTTTTCATTAGTTATTTGCAACCAAATGTTTGTCATACTATGTATTTCTAACTGAAATTTCTGGGTTTATTCTCTGGATCATGTTTATTCCCATAACCACGTTAACATTGTGTGGCACCTGATGGCACCCTTGAAAAGATCTCAAGGCACAACCAGGGTGTCATGAAACCATGATTGAGAATCACTGGTGTAACTGGGTGAGCTGTTTATGCTGAAACGCCAGCTTGCCAAAAAAGTTAACTTGAGATTATTCTTGTTTAAATTGTCATGCAAATATTCCTTGCCATTTAATTTCTCTTGCTTAAATTTTATCTGCTTCAATTTCACAATCAGATTTAAAGACTTTTATGTAGAAGGGTAATGAGAGAGGCTGATATGGTATAGAGTGAAAGAATAGAAAAGCAAGTTCCTTATGTTCTTCCTTCCAGGCAAGCATATTTTGACGCCAGAACGGACAGCATAATTGATTCCTGCCAGAGGCCGTGGTAATTTATATCTTTACCCTTGGCTTGACTTTTAACCTGCTTCTGTCCTTCTTTCTCCTGGCCATCTCCTTGGCAGCCTTCTTCAATGCTCCCCCAACCCTTTCTTTCTCTCTCGCTCCCTCTCTGCCATTTAGTCACAAGAAGTTGAAAACATTTTTTAAAACAAATGGAACTTGCCCATCTGCCACTGTGCACTCCTTTAATCCACAGTTTTAAGTCTTACTTTATCAATTAATTCTAGCTTCTTTTAAATTTAAATATTTAAATTGTGATAAATGTGGCAACTCTATGTGATATATGCAAATTTAATAATCTAAAAACTTGATTATAGATGTTAGAGGACAATTTAGTTGGATTTCAGATGGCCAAAAGATAAATTCAGGGATTTCAATTACTTTTTAATAAAGAAAAAAGAAATTAAAAGCTGAAAAAATATTTTAGCAAAGGAGTTCAGAAATGAACAGTCTCAGCTATTACTCTTTATAGAACCTACTGTTTAATACAGCTTCTTTTGTTTTTTCTTTTTCCTTTTTAACCTAGTTCAGAATTGTTTGTCAGAGACAGGAGCAAAATGAGAACTTCCTGGGAGCTGTCTGACCCAGGATCTCCTTCTACTCTCAATCACAGCAGTTCAATCTCTTCTGCTTGAGAGGAGAGAATAGAAAAAAGGTCAAAAGATTTCCAGAGCCATTTCCATATGTTATTTTGACATGTGCAGACTTAAACAAAGAGATGTTTCATTATTGCTAGGCTGGACTCTAGAACCCTGTAATGGGTGTCTCTCTCTCCGTATACCACACATGGGGAGATTTAGGTACCTCCAGAATAGGATCCACAATGGCTAACACAATTTGACTCACCGAGTACTAGCCAATAAGGAAATGCTGAGGAAATCCCACCTCTATCCAGACTTTCCAAAGTAGGCCCACTGCAGGTAGAAGCATTGTGTATCTACTGCAGTATGGTTTCTAGGCAAATGGTTGTTGTTGCAATTATATTGAAGACTACTGCTGGCCATCTATGTTGTAACTGAAAAGTTGGGTTTTTTTCTTCCATAAATTAGTGCAGCATTCATTGTCTCAAGACATCAATAAGTCAAAAGGATTGTTAAAGGGATGGCTGTACAAGCAAAGACAGGTATTCCAGTGTCATACCCTAAGGTGTAAATTGATTCCAAAGACTAGGAAGGACTGCATACCAGGCCTGCACATAGCGTGGGGTTTTTGTCAGGTTCCCTTCCTGCTTCCTGCTGTTGGAGATGTGAGATCAAAATTGGCTTGTGCCAATCAAGTGCTTCCCCAAACTTCTGATTCGTAACTGGCAAATGATCCAATCCTGCATTTTAGAGTTCACCATTAAATAAAGCAAAGAAAAAAACTTTAAAATAAAATAATGGCCATGCTTGTAGCTTCTGCCCTGCTTTTACAAAGGCAAGTTTATGTGGAGCTGCAGTGCTAAAATTGTTCCATAAGTGCTTCTGACTGCTGAAGTGCTGGAGCATAATGTAAAATGCTTTGACAAGGCAGAACAGATCACCAAACTGACTCTTTCATTGTGTTGGCTGATTTTAAATAAGATTCTGAAGCCTCCTTCCTACAAAGCACTGTCCATGAGCCAGTCCTTGCATTTACTTGGAATCCCCATTACAGTTAAACAAGTTTGTTATAGTCATAAGAGTTGGGTATATCCTTTATACACAAGTGAACATACTGCCACAATTGGGGCCAAGTCAGCTAGGCTGCTTGTGGGGTATATATTTTTTTGTCTACTGCTTTCTCTTGAACTTGAAGAATTCCTTGCCTCCCCAACTCTTAATATATGAGACAGGGAGGTTAATGGACCATTTACCTTGAGTGATTAATGACTGAGAGCCAGGAATTAGGAATCTCTTAATTCTAAGCCTAGCTGAGCCACCACTTTATTATACAGCTTTGTAAATTTCCTAACCCTTCCCATGTTGCATTCTATCCTTCTGTAAAATGGGTATAATCAAATAATACTTTCCCTGTTATAACTCTTGGGTATCACAACAGTGTTTAATTCCTTAATAGAAGTGGACCCCTCTGAGAAGGGAGGGTAGCTACTTCTTTAAATCCAACCCTAAAGGGACATATGTTACTGAGTTTTCCTCCAGTGACCAAGGCTAGCAAGAAAGCTGCTATCACATCCCATAGCCAGAGGATTGTCTAACATCCTGAACAGATGATACATTTACAGCAGTGCAGTCGGCCTATGCACTGGTGTAAATAAAGGAGCAGACATAAACCCTTACAGTGAGGTAACTTCAATGAATCTAGTGTAGAATTGCCCCTAAAAGGACCTACTGTAAAACTACACTGATGAGAGTCAAACTGCTATGGATGGCAACTAGGTTAACCTGAGGCACCCATTAACCCAAGGCTACCACATTGTGACAGTGACTACGTAAGGCTTTGCGTGCAACTAATTTGGAATAGCAGCTCATCTGTTTGCTGCCTTTTGTGGTATATCTTATATGAAGTCTTTAATGAAGAGCCGTTCCAGCTTGTCTCTCAAACTTTCAGTCTGTATCTCAAATTAGATTTTGGTGGTTTCATAAAGAGAGGGTAGCCTGCTTGTAACTAAAGATCTCTCTCCCATAGCAAGCAATCTGTTAAACATAATTGTAACAGCATGGGGGGGTGGTCTCTTTGTTGTCTGCAAATTAAAATGGGGCTTTTGAATAGATGTATGTTTGTTTATTTATAGTCTTTCCAACTAAAGTGTATCAAAGTCCTAATAAGCAGTTGTTAAGGAATGGCCACAATAATCTGAATCGTGTTTAAAAATCCGCAAAAATATGACTTTCGAGACCTTGATTGCATGGTCAGCAGTCAAAAATATCAATGCTTCATTGCCTGTGTTCCTGTTACAGATACATGTGACAGCGTTGCAGCTATGAGTGGAATTTTAAAGAGGAAGTTTGAAGAAGTTGATGGCTCCTCACCCTGCTCCTCTGTGCGGGAATCAGATGATGAAATTTCTAGCAGTGAAAGTGCTGACAGCGGCGATAGTGTCAATCCATCTACTTCTAATCATTTTACCCGTAAGTCCAAAGTCTTGCGTAGAGCTCTATTGTCCTCTACAAATTGATAGTATTGTCTGGCATAATGGTAATAATAATACACAGCTCTTATACAGCAGTTTTTTTATCAGTAGGTCTGGGGACAGACATTACACATAAACCAATTTAAGTGATAAGAAAATGGTTTTAACCTGTAGCAGAATACAAGTTCAGTGCACATAAACCAGTTTCCCCACAACCCCATCTCACAGGGCAGGCCACTAGCCTTGGCCCATCCTGTCTGCTCCAGCTGGGCAGGGCCAGCTCTGTCCCCAGGCTGTCACAGAGCTGAAGCAGCAATGCCTCTGTTCTGCAGCCCTGATCCAGCCTGTGGCAGTCAGCCCAGCAGAGTGGTGGTGGGGAGGAGACAGGGGAACAGAACTCCCCTCCTCAGCCCTAGCCCCAATCCCTGGTGTGAAAGGGCTTCCCCCTGGCCCACATGAGTCACCAACACGCAGGTGGGAGGTGAAGGGATCAGGCCCTCCAGCTGGGGGCTGGCCCAGATCCCTGTGCCTCAGTGGGCATTCCCCAGCCCTGGGCAGGGTTCCCTGAGCCCTGTCACTGGTACAGAGGGAGAATTGCCCCCTCCCACCTCTCAGCATGGTGCAGCACCAGCTTAGCTCTGCCCCCACAGGTGCTATGGGGGGAATCATTCCCTCCAGCCCAAGGCCAAGCTGGCACTTGACTCTGCCAAGAGATGAGAGGGGGAAATTCCCCCTGTGCACTGGTGGCAGCACTCGAGGAACCCTGCCCAGGGCGCAGGAATACCTGCTGAGGTGTGGGGATCCCCCTATGTGGCAGGATACCCAACACTGGCAGGAACACAGGCTGGAAGGACTGTTCCCCCCTCTGCAGGGGGTCAGCAGGAGTTTGTGGGGGGGCACCTGCTGGGCAGCCAATCAGTGATGGGCCCCAGTTGGCTGCATTAAAGTGCCCTCAGCAGCGGGTGGCAGGCAGGGAGGTGTGCTCTAGTGCAGTGCTTCTCAAACTTTTTTGTACCAGGACCCATTTGTAGACATTGATGGCTGGTCCTGACCCATAGCCCCAGGCTTTGCTGGTGCCCTCACTCCCAAGCCACAATCCCCTGCCACCCTGGGCCATACTGATGACTCTTACTCCTAACCTGCAGCCCCCTCCCCCCCCATCCCTGCTGGAGGGGCCCCCAGCTGCCCCTGGCCCACTTGGGCTGGAGCATGGTGGCTGCAGTGGCTCTGGCTCATCTGGGCGGCAGCGGAGAAACTCTGGTCCCAGCATGGGCTAGAGGGAAGAGGGAATGGGGGCCTGTGTCACCCCAGCAGCCATGGGCTGGGGCTCCTGTGCTGCACCAGGCAGCCTGATCATGGTCCCTCAAGCAATGTCTCCCATCCACGCCACCCCTGCAAGTACTTAGCCATGTAGCTCCCCCTGGGTCCATTCCCACGCTGGAGGGGCAGACGCCTTCCTATCCCCTGCCCCTGCTGCCATGACACAGCCTTGGTGCCTGGCCATCTTCCCCCAGTGCCAACAGGCACCTGTCCCCACCCCCCACACCCATCCACTCCACATCAAGCCCCAAACAGTTCCTAAGCCCTGGGCCGCCAGCTCCCACTCTCCATACTGGCTGCATGCCAGCCATATGCAGCTGCACATGCACCCGCTATCTCGAATTGCCCCAAGCAGCTCCTTGCTGGCTGGAAGGCTGCCAGCTTGCAAGGAGAAACCCATGCTTTCCCACGCTTTTCTGGGACTTGCTCATTACCTTTTCAGATATTCTTGCAACCTACTTTTGAGGCGTGACCCATGGGTTGAGAAACACTTCTCTAGTGTCCTCCCCAGCTTCAAGTTTGGACCACTGCAGGCATCTAGCTGCCTTTCCAGCTTCAAAAGTTAATGTCAGATTACTTCATCAGTTCAGTCTGTGCAGGTTAGAAACCCATGAAGAACTGAATCAATTCAGCCTTGGGCTTTCTGACGGTCTGTACTTAGCCTAGATGTCAATATGATTTATCATTATCTCTGTTTTACAGAAGTGAAAACTGAGTTCCAGTGAGGTGCAGTGAATTGATGAAAGCCACCCTGGAAGCCTGTGGCACTTTGGCTTCACTTTTGTAACTCACCATTTAATTAGTGAAATCTGCATAGAATTATTTATTAATATGACCTAAATTACACTAGAAGCACTTAAACATATGCTTTAGAGAACTGTTTGCAGTTTTGTAGTTAGGATTTTCAGCATTCAAGGTATTTCTAATAGGGTAGGTAGAGAAGGGAAACATTACGAGATTCTGTTGGTACATTATCTAGTTTTCTTGAATAAAATTGTAAGCTTTTAAGAGGTACTACTGTATTTAGTGACAATCACAATATATAATACTCAGATCACTGTACTTTATTTCCATACCAATGGAAGTTTTTGATAGGGGTGGGATACGCAAAACAAATAACATTTTTATGGAGGATTCCACATTATAAAGACTTAATGAAATGCTTCAGGTTAGATGGAGATACTGGCAACCATTATCCATAGCATCCATGCCTACTCTAGACAGTATTTTGCACAGTCAATAGTTTTTTGTTGAGACAAGCATTTGCCTCAGTGTTATCAAAAATGAAAAACTCATGTGCCTAGAAAGTCTGGGGAACATTAATCTGTTTTGTTTTTATTTGTTTGTTTCAATGTGAGTACTTGCAAAGTTTAAAAAACCTAGGCCCAGATCCTGCAATTCTGTATTACACGAATACACTGAGGCCAATTACTTCATTGTTGACTTCATTGGAACGATTTACCTCCAGATTTCTTTCAGTTTTACACATTATTTCCTCCAGCTCATTTGAAGACATTTTGAAATCATTGTGTACAGTTTGGAACATTAGCAGGATTCACAAGTATTGCCTGACAGGGGTCATGATGTGAACACTTTTGCTATGGCCCCTATGAGATGCTGAAGTGAGCTTATGCATTTGTGATTTGGTTTGTCTGGAAGAAAACAATTGTGTTGTGCAGTGATTGTACAGCCCACTGCCTTTTAAAAAGAACACATTTCTGTATAAAGAAAATAAAGGAATGTATAATCTGTATCAGAGCTGTTCATCTGGTGGCCCAAATCTAGGCTACCTCTCCCTTCCTCCCTCCCAGATTCACTTTCTGCTTCCACCTCATTAGCTTGCGACTTGGAAAGTCCATGGCATGGTGACATAGATACATTTCTCATGGTGAAACTGCATGCTAATACTTCTCCCTCCTTCCTGCCTCCTGATGGTAATGTCCTTCTGTCATCTCCTGTGAACAGGTATCAGGTGGTTAATAAAATAAACTTAGGAAAAGGATACTGCTAACTCTACATTTTCATTTTTTCATTTTCAGCACCTTCTTGCAGTTTTAGAATTACTATAGTATGTTCAGTTTCTTGGATGTTGATGAAACTTACCACAGGTATCAAGCAGTTCGTGGTAATGAATCTGTATATCTTATT